TTTATTGTAAATCGCAAAAATAAAAAAGTATTTAATGGTTGTATAAGGGCCAATCGGTTAGCTACCTTATCGGGCGACAAGCTCCTTGCTTAACTTTATCATTACTTTACAGTTTTTTAGTATCTATACTATAATAAAATCAGATACAACAAAGAAGTGGATAATTTACAGAAGAACAACGAATTATTATGTACATAAAAATTTATGAAATAAAAGATAAAAATAACAATATTCTAGATTACAAGATCACTTTTTCGCCTCATACTACATATTACCAGGTATATTACATATAATAAATATCTTTGCCGAGGGAAAACTTATTCTTTACTTCTTAATATCGAACAGCTGTAGTATTTTATACATGGATGGATTAAAAAAAACAATTTCTTAATTTGTAAAAACAATCTTCATATAGAGGATATACTAATAACAAATAGTATTCATCCTCAACACATACGTACAACCATGAAAAACATTTAATGTACGCTATGATTGTCCTATTATATCCCCGTTTTTTTTTTTAATAATAAAGTTGTAAGGATAATTTTAATCTGCATATACATTAATTTTTGAAACAATGGAATTTTTTTTTCTTAAATGATTCTTTTATTACCTCCAAGATCCACAACCATGTATTTTAAGCCCATCTCCGTGTCCAGTTGCCTTTTCCCTTTTGCTTCTCAACAGCGTCAAAATGCATGAGGTGACAATAAATAGATGCTGCCTCTGGTTCTAATGCAATCTGCAATTGTTTGTCTGGTAATCCAGCCTGCAAACCATTGAAAAGCATTCATTATTTGTATTCTATTCATTTTTATGAAAGAAATGTACATGTCTCGAATGTGTCCATTTAAGGAAAACAATACTGCATGCAATGTAGCCTAACAGGGAATAAACAGACTTACTTTTACAGCCGCCTCTCTCATGAACATTTTTGCTGAGTCGTCCCATATTGCTGGCACGGTGAGTATAAAGTTAATGTCATCCAAAGTTATCTCCTCGACAAGGAATCTTTTTTCTATTTCTTTCATGAGATGGTCTTTCAGATATTTGATGGAAAGGGTGAATATTGGCATAGCTTCCATTTCCCGATCGTTCTCGTCCTTACACATTGTTTCTCGATGAACTCTCTAGTCAATGAAATTGCAATTATTAGTCTGATCTAGAATGTAAAGAGTGTATAAGAAATACAAACTTTAAAAAAAATTGTAGAGTATTCCCTCAAAATTAAAAAAAAAAATATCAAGCTGTGCATTAAGCAGATAAATATTGTTACAGTCCTTGAAAATTGTGGGAAATAAAGTTATCAGTTTAGGCGTACATGTATGTACATGTATTTCGACAGTGCATCAGTTTTCCTACATCTACACATCTCTCTCTTTCTCTCGATCTATCTCTCTGAGGTTTTAATTGTCCTGGAGGATACTTTGGACCACAACAGGAGGTAAAGCTATGTTGAGAAAAAATTATTTCCTCGAGACCAGAAAAAATCGAAACTTTGTTAAATACTTCCTGACATACATGCAGTATAGGGTGAAGTTTATTCAAATCATGTCGTCTGGGGATAAAATGAGGCAAGCACAATAGGTTATGAAAGATTTATACTGGAATATTTATTTAGGAATATATACAAATCAATCTTCAAAAACATCTTATGGTCATTTTGCCAGACAGGATAATAAATAAATAAGATTAATTTTTAGGACTACAATTTATATTCTCACTGACCATCGATTCATAAGCATGATTTGGGTTAAGGCTAGTCCACAAAAAGAGATCAAAACACACTTAAATATTTGTACAGGGAAATTTTAGTTTAGTACAGATTTGATTTCAATTTAAGGCTATCGTGGTCAGAAAAGGGGTGAAAATTTTCATCTAAATATGTAGAATTTTTTTTAGTTCGAGAGTAGCAGTCTTTTGATATTGAACAATAGAGTTCAAATCACTGAGCTCAAACCCATTTTTAACTAATAGAAAAATTATAAACTGGGACATTAAAAAAATCGATCCTTTTTAGTTTTACAAAGAGTGTGTGATTTTTTTTTATTGAAATTTATTAAGAGGTTTTGCATATCGTTTTTGTCAGCTTTTAGATTGAGTACTCCCTCCAAGAACACCCCCTCCTCCAGAGATCTTACATCGGAAAAAATGACTCTTGGGAACTGTTACACAGAATAGAATCCCCCGGAAATTTGACACTTATGTCGATTTTTTTGGGGAAAATCCTACATTATACTCTAAGAGCCAATTTAATTTTCCGATTGCAAATCCTGCTATAGAGTTAGTTTTCGGGGGGGGGGGGTGTCTAAAATACTTGAACCACACATATTTCTATCTGTTCGTATTACTTAGTTTTAGACCATGAGCCCCATCCTGGTTCCTGTGTACACAATCATTTGTAAGCAAGATACCTACAAACCTGGGTGAGAGTTGTTTTCAACATCATCTTGAATCGATGAAAAAAATAATACTCCTTGCAAGTGCGACCTTCTTCGTCACCATCTGTTGCAATTTCAGAATAAGTTTTCTCCGCTTCAAAACCAAAGGAATTAAAAGACTTGTCTGGATTCAATAGAGAGAGCAGTTGGTGCTTTAAAGGACGATAACTGGCCACCTTCCCATTTATTCATATGCACTTTCGCCCAGTCCGATTTGAATGAATAAGCATAACCCGAATACGTTGTCCCAAAGTCAAATGCAGCCACTAAAGTTCGGGACGATGATGATTTTCTTTCCTGTGCCATTTTTATGACTTTACACTTTGTTACTTTCGTTTTGCAATTTAAATGACTGCCCGTTTGTGACACTATCATTCTAACACCCATGCAACAATCAAGATGTGGCATAGCAAAACTGTATACTTTTCATCGCAATCACCATGATAATTGACCTTGGGAATTATGACCTATGTAACCTCGTTGTACATTGTTGTATATATCTGACTTTGTGAAGAGAACTACATTTACTACTTCTAGAGATTTAATTTTATTAAAATTCAGAAAACATCAGAGCTCAAAATTCTGAAATCAGAATCACTATAGAGTGTTACAATGTTTGGACCTTCTCTGTTTTACCTGGTAAGTACAAATTAATGGTAGTGAGAACCAGACTGGACAACCCGTTACCTAACGGGAGTTTTAAAACTTGCTCTGACAGAAGATGTCTTCTTTGTAAGCACAGCACTGACACAGACAGTTTTCTGTTACAAGCCACAGCTACAAAATACTAGGGAATTTGTCCTGTCATACTGACAACTGCATTTATCTCATCAGCTGCAAAGTTTGCTCCAAACAGTATATTGGTGAAACAGGAGATCTCCGCATGAGAGTCAATAACCACCGTTCGACCATTAGGACCAAAATACTAATGTGTGTTTGGGAAACATTTCAACCTTGAGGGTCACAAATGGGAGGACATGACAGCAGTGGTGATTGACCATAACCCAAGATGGACAGACACTCAGAGAAAAAGCAAAGAAAAGTTCTGGATGCACAGATTGAAGTCATTCCGCCCTAATGGTATTAACAAACTGAATGACTTCACCAGAATGAACGTAAACTAGACCCAATTTTTGATGATTCTATTAAAGATTATTCTCTCAATTTAGTGTAAACTCTACAGTTAATTTGCGTTACCAACTCTGGATCAACCCACATAACTATGTATTGCTTACGCCTTTATTAATTATTTTTTCCCGATTATTAGTCCTAAAACATTTCCAAATTTATATTAGATCATTATTCATATGTTAAAATATCCCTGCTACATTATTTTTCTTTGACTACATTAAATTTCTTCATAACAGCGTTCAAACCCTCAAGCCCTGAAGAGTAAAGGAGTTTTTGGGATAAACATAAAGTTAATTTTTTTTTTCACATTAACAATATTCGCCAGATCTTTCGCCTTTTGACTTGTTTCACATTTTCCAAACTTTAAAATAAAAAAAACCTAGCGGAAGGAAGAAACGAGTCCAGGAAATCATAAAAAATTTACGGACGTGTTTCAATTAAAAGAGAATATTAAGTAGTCATAAAGACTACATCATTGAAAAGCGTCTATATTGCTTCTTTCCGAGCACCAAGGTCAATATTTATTGAACAGCCCTCGTACATACAGGAAATGTTTGCATATTTAAACTAACACATTGCAATGGGCTAGAGGTTGCTATAGCTAAATTAACACATATAAATTCAAAGAAATCATATTAAATTTAAAAAATCTAGTATATACCTAGAAACAAGTAAATTATTTATGAATATAAATTCCTGCGAGCGTGAAACATTAGAAAGACACAACAAATAGTTAAAAAATAAATATAAAACATGTAAGGAAGCTCTTAACACTAACAGAAACTGTTTTTTTGGACTTTGGGAAAAATATATCATATAAAGATATGCATATTGAGACTTATTCTTTCATTTAGAACAAAGGGTACGTGCCTTTTTTGGGCATGAAAAATGTTCAAAGACAATGGACAATTTGTAAGCAGAAATCACTGTAGTTTACTTACATTAGGAAAATTAATGAAATCAATTATTAAATTTCATACTATTGGTCTTATGTAATGCTAAATATATTTTAATCTATCAAAAGTTATGTAATTAACGGTAAATAACAATTTCTATAATTTACATCTAACGGCAGATCACTCTAACTGCAAAAAAAACACCCAAAAAATTTAGGTCTTTAGTGTGCAGTGTTTAGAGCGTCTTTAACGGTGATTTTACTAATGAAATCAATCTGAAAAAAAAAACCATAAACCCCAAATTTGATAACAATTCAACCTAAAGTATAAATATTGAAAATAGTGTCATCGATTTATATTTTGGGAAAAAATTACATTAACAACAAATTCAAAACAATTCAACCTAATGTATGAATATACATCGATTTATATTTTTGGCACAAAACTGATACTGTAGATCTTTAATTTGAAAGATGCATTCAAAATAGGTCTCGAGGAAAACAATTTAAATTTGTGATTTTGATAAAAAATTTTCAGTGCACACTCCAAGTCCTGCTATCGGGCATATCAATATCCTCAGCCAGCAAATCAAATTTCACCTCGTATCGCTCTCCAGTAGTAAAGTTACAGGCTTTCACTCGAATTTCCGTTTCTCCAAAAATAATAGATTCTTCAATTTCAGTTGTTTCACTTCGATCGCCCATTGGAATTTCTAATGTTCCTAATTTGCAGCATCCTTTTTCATCAATATATGTAGGGTCTTCGGAATTCGATATAAATACCCCACACTCTAATTTCCTCTTTTCATTTTGCAGCGATTTAAAAATGTATGACTTCCTCATTCCAGGTTCAATATGATCTCCTTTGGAAATAAATTTTAAAAAGACATCTCTACACCTTTCTTCTCCGGAAACCATCTCTTTTTTCTTTAAATCGTGTTTGGATTGGTCGAATTTCGGCCAAGTTTGAATGCCATAGGTATACCTAGCAACCCGTTTAGAAATAGCGTCTGGAATATGACCAAAATATACCGCTCCCTTCAGAACAGCCAAATCTGCTTGCTCGGGTATGACCAAACGCTTTCCCCGAAACTTTTCTTTCATTTCAGATGCAGTAACTCATTATCAGCAAATCCACCAACCATCAGTAATATGTTAACATTTTTGCCACTTTCTTTTTTGAAAAGACCTTCCAGATGAGTATGTGATGTTTCTAATTGTTGGATAAAACATTTCTTTGAAAATTGCAGATGGCATCCATATGACTCAATCTTTGTATTCTATCTTGCCATTGTAAATAGACTTTTCAATACATCGTTTTATTGGTTCGCCCCTTTTCATGTGTTTATAGTTAAAAACTTCTTTAACAATATCCTCTAATCCCAATGGAAGCCTTATATGAACATTGTCACTAACAGCTGTTCCTATTTTGTTACTTTTCTTGGTCTCAAAACCTTGCCAGAATGTGAAATAGTCATCTTTGTAATCTATATCCGACGAAAACTTCTCCATGACCTCATCACCCAAAATGTTCTCCAGAAATTTGTGGAACGCTTTATCTACACATGTGCCTCCCCATGCCCCGCCGGTTGCCGGAATTAGTCCAATTTTTACCAATTTTTGAATTATTTTCTAAAAATTCTGGTGTATATGAAGTTCATATTATTTATATCTAATGCTAATTGCTTTCTACTAATGATACATATCCTTGTAAAAGCAAGAAAAAAATACTTGTACATCATAGTGTACATTTAATGCTATGGGGCGATGACTCTAACTTTTGGAAAATACTAAAAACTTTCTTAAATTTTTGTCGTTTTTCAAAATAATACTTTTTTAAATTCAAATTATATTTGTATATTTAAAGAATTTATTCCTTTCTATTGCTAAAAAACAATGTATATTACATATGTATGTATGTGTTTTATTTTGGCAATTTCACAAAAAACCTGAAGTTTCTTAAATTGTCTATGATCCTTTTGACTTTGTCAATAAAATATGTACACAATTCAATTCATATTAGAAAGATGCTTGAGTTTCTGATTGACCATATCTAGAATTTTGTGTTTTGGAGACAATATGTTTGAATTCCCATGTGTACCTATTTCACCCCGCCATTAGCAGACCAAATAAATTTTGTATACATATGAAGCAGTATTTATTCAAAAACTTGTACATTGAATTATGTTCCAAATTGTATAAAGTAACAAAGCTTTAAATTTATGATAAACGCAATGACTTTAACTTTTCAATCTTTAACACCTCTTATTGAAGAAGCAATTTATACCGGTACCTTTATCACCTACATAACTACGTATACGGGCTTATGTCTCTCAGTTGATTTCATACACAAGAGTATGCTATATACGTACGAACAATTTCTAAAACAAACCAAGCATTTAACAAACAAGTTGATGAAACAAGAATATCAACTTACAGTATCTGAATTTATCATTTTACAAGTGTTATGATCTATAGAATGATATTGTCAGCAAATACAACCCTATTGTTAGGTCATAATTTTCACACTGAATTGCCAACGGATTTTTCAATTTTTTTCCAACACGACAAGCAGCACACGGCGGGTGTGAGCGTTCGAAATGTGATGCTCACTCCTCCATGGCACATGATCTGACTTCCGATGTTCATAGAGGTTCATGTATACTCTGCTGCTGATTCTTGAATTTTAAATGGTCTTTGAGCTTGAATACCATTCGTTATCTACGTAGTCTATTAAAGAATTGCATTTGTTTATCATTATTCCAAAAGACAGTAAAAAAATTGTTTTGCCTCTACCTGGTATATGTTACTTGCATTAAGAGATACATATTTGTCCTAAATTTCGAAATTTTTTGTATTGATCGTACAGCACTGTATTCTTTTTTAACTTTAACTAAAATCATGTATGTGTAAAGTACCTCCAATATCAAGAACCATGTACTTAGAGTTGATACTTTCTTTTTTCTTCGTATTGTCCGGATTTTCCAAGTGCATATATTGGCAATAAATAGATGCAGCCTCTGGTTCCAGTGCTAGAAGCAACTGATCACTCGGAATTTCAGCCTAAAAATTGTTTAAAAGTTACAACAAAAATTTTCAACGAGAACCAAGTATGCAACATCAGTGGAATGCCAAGAGAGAGAGAGAGAGAGAGAGAGAGAGAGAGAGAGAGAGAGAGAGAGAGAGAGAGAGAGAGAGACGTACCGCTTCTGCAGCTTTTCTCATGAACATTTTTGCTGTATCATCCCAAATTGCTGGCACAGTGATGACAAAAGTGATGTCTTTTACTTCAATTTTTGTTTCCGATTTCGTTACAAGGGTTTTATTTATTTCTTCAAGAAGATGATCTTTCAAATATCGTATGCAGTGGGTAAAGACCACAATAGCATCCAGCTCCTTTTTGTTTTCCTCCATACATTTGGTTTTTCTATTGACTCTCTGCATATAAAAAGTATTTTTAGTGAAAGTAATAATATTATTAAATCAGAAATAAAATTCAACACTCCATCTTTATCAGTTTATATGGCCATAATTTCATCGTATCACTCTATAGATTTTCATCATATTTTCAGCTAGAGTTGTTATGTTTGTACACATGTTCATAAACAAAAAGAAAATATACTAGTTTATCAAATTATAGGATGCATTCAAATGATAACATATTCTACCTTCTCTAATTCTGTTTTCAAAATCATCTTAAATCTGTGGAAAAAGTAATAGTCCTCGCATTTTCCCCCATATTCATCAAGTTCAGAATAATTTTTCTCTGCTTCATATCCAAATGAATTAAACGATTGGTCTGGATTTAAGAGGAGAGCTGTCGGTGCTTTGTGAGACATTAGGTTCCCACTTGCCCACTTATTTGCCACAACTTTTGCCCAGTTGTCCTTGAAAGAATAGGCATATCCAGAATAAGTTGTGCCAAAGTCAATAGCAGCCACCAAGAGTTTATAGGAACTTTTTTGTTTTATTTCCTCCGACATTTCGACACATCCTAAAGAAATATTTATAGCTACTTTCGTTTTACAAGATTATGAAAAGTAGACTAAGTATGTTAAGGTTTCGTCAAATGTCAACATGTCCAAAAATTTATTTTTACAATAATTCCAGAACTTTAACAGTTTATAAATTTTTCATTGATTAACAGATAGAAAGTATCAAACTTGATATAAAAAATACTTGGAAAAAATTTAATGATCAGCAATTAAAAATTCTTCTTAAAAATGCATATATTTTCAAAAATCACCTAATTAATTCCGTGCAATTTAATGGAACCATGCATTGCAGAAACACAATATGTTTATCAATGAAAATAAACCTTTCAGTTGAAATATATCTATGAAAGTTAATTTTCCCTGTTGAAAATTGTTGAAATGTTAAACTTGAAAGTGAAAAATTATTTTTAAAGGGCATGAACATTACACAGATTTAAGTTAAAATATACCTGTTTAAATCTTATATATTTTCATAGCATTTCACACAAAACTTACCCTTCAAAAAAAAATTATTTCATCAAGTTATGGTTTTCAAAATTTTGGACAGGGTTTGATTGTCAGGTGCACTTTTCAAATTTTCACATTTTCTGATGCAATTTTTCACAAAAAAAGTCATTTTATTAAAATTTTTGTAATCAAAATACTTTAAAACTTTAATCCAGAAAAATAATATATTTATAAACTGTAAACGTTTTGACGAAACACCACACACAGTTTTCATCCGATTGTAAAAATAACTTTTTAGCAAATTGATCACACCCGTGAAACCTTACAATTTAAACAGGGCACGGACAAACTGTTATCATGTTTAATTCATCCGGCGCGTGATACATCAAATTGTTAAAGTTAGACCTATTTTTTCGAAAAATAAAGTGAATTGCTTTCAATGTTAAAATTTCATAAGTATCTATACCCTGATGAATTAAAATTTACATGATCTGCAATGATTATAAAAAAACAAAATTAATTAATTAAAATTCTACTTTCGTTTTCGATGATCCACGGCAAATTAAAAAAAATGAAAGTAAAGCGATGTGCATACCAAAACCTTTAAATATTTTAAGTTTTTGTCACTAAGAGAAAAAATTCTTTAAATTTATTTTTGTGAATATTTCTATTCGATATATGGTTTGTTCCTTGATTGAATTTTTTAAATTTTATCTCTTTTTTAAACATTTTAACCTATAAAAGAGAAAAATAAATTATTTTTTTTAAAGATGCAATTAAAATTTTTTCTTTGGTATTAAACCTTGAAAAAAAATGAAACCCTAATTTTTTTTTTGAAAAGTTGGATGATCCGATGCATTTGATATTTGTTTAAATTAGTAAAGTGATTTATCATTATTATTTTGAAGAAGTTCAATTTATTAAGGTTCCTCAAAAATATATATTAATTTTTACAGTGACTTTATTGAAATGCTATTTTGCAGTTTAAACAAGTTTCTGCCAATAAATTACTTGTCTAGCATTTGTTTTTCAATGATGCAATTGAAATTTAACTAACCCATATGGGTAATCATCTGAATGTCTTTTATCACAATTTGAAATGTACTTATATCTAAAACATATTGAAAACAATGTAGAAATTACAAGAGAATGACAAATATGCATAATTTTTATATAATGCCAAGAGATACAAAAGATATATTTGAGGAACTTGTCTGACCTTACAACAACAACAACGAAGACGACAGAAAAAAGAAGATAGTCTGATATTGATGTTTATTATTTCGAAATATTTAAATTAAACAAGACAGAACAAGATTAATGAAACTTTATTAAATGGATATAGATATTATAGTATGATAAATTTTTAATAGGGTATTAATCCATTCCTTCTGTTTACATAATAGACTGATATTCCTGGCAAGCCAAAAGTTCTGAAAGTTGAGAAGTCATTTTAATCTGGCAATTCGTCAAAGTGATCTTCCTCGCTTGTTTTACCAGAAAAGGAAACCCAAAAATAATTTTGAAAAGGTTAATTTGGTCAGAAAATGAGCCTCTGTTTTGTCGGAGAGGTCCATAACCTGGGAAGTTCCAATGCAAGTCAAGCATATGGTCAAAGGAGAAAAAATAATTCAATAGTATAATAAGGCAAACTATGGTACTCCCTTCTATTCACAGATAAAAAATGAAGAAATGAATTCATGAAAAATCAGTTAGAGATAAAGGCACGCGGATAAATAAATAGTAAGTCATTGTCATTTTTAAAGACGGCTTCTGTACATTGTTCACTACCATGCTGCTCAGTGCATTGTGTATCTGTCTCTGTTTCACTTTTTCAGTTTGCCTCGCTCGATCAGTTTTCTTCTTCTTTCCGCCAATCTGTCTTCTTTCAACAGACCGTTCTCCCGAAGAGCTTTGTGAATTTTTTCTGCAATTGAATAATGTCTGTATGTATAATATCGGTCATAGTGAATTTCATATCAAAAGTAATAATTAGGAAGTATGCATATGCGTTTTTACCTTTCCATTCCTGGTAGGCGGCCTCGTTATCAATTGGAAGAATCAAGATTCTAGTGATGTTTCCATTGATTGGAGGTAGTTTTGGAACACTCGACTCGTAGGTGGGCTGCATCATCTCACTCTTTTGAGTAACATCTGATCTAGAGTCATCTGGTTGTCTACAATCATATGCACTAGAACCATTGGCGTTGTCACCATGGGCCTCATTCGGTGTCACACAAAACATGGCATCCAAGAGGGTCGGAGTGTAAACCTCCTCTTTCACATCTTCGGAGTTCACCTTCTCTATCTGTTTGTATGCTGCTTCCTCCTCATCTGAGATGATGCCTATTTTATTTATTCTCATACAGCTATGAAACAAACCCATTTTTGCTGTATACTGCTTAGCGACCAAACTGCGCTATCCACAATAATCAAGATTATTATGACGTCATAGGTATTATGACGTCAAATGGTTGTGACGTTGGTATGATAAAGAGAATGTTTACGTCAAGTGCAGGCACGTAATGCATTGATATCTTTTCGATTAAAAAAAATATGTAACTATATGATATAACCTATACGTCATGTAGCAGCTAGACTAGCATCTCTAATTTTTGATGATACTACGGTCATTGGCCTAGCTGTACATAATACATACAGTACTAATTGCGCTTCTTTGCTAAAAAATATTGTTGAATAAAAAGTTTCAAAGCATTTTTTTAAATCGAGTTTTTTTTTCCCTATAAAAGAATAGAATATCATGTTTCATCATACATGGCAATTACAAGGCACACGATTTGACATCAAACTTCCATTCATTTGGTGTTTTGTTTCAAATTGTAAGCATTTACTGAGTAAACACTCGAACTCAAACTGTTTAATATGCTGTAAGAAAAATACAGGTATAGGCACGTAGCAACAGGGTGGCTACCCCCCCTTTTCCCCCAACAATACTTACACTATGATAAATGTTTATGGAGAGGCAGGTTGCCCCCCCCCCCCTCCAACCCCAACTTTTTGTGATATAAGGAAAATGTATGAAAAATGGTATTGAAGGAAGATGGCATTGACAAAAAGTTGGCCACGCACTATATAGTGAAAAATAAATAAATAACTGCACAATATTAACTCCTTTATACAAAATATTTTTTTAATGTTAAAAAATTGCACTTGTGTATAGAGGGTGCTTAATACATGTACTTCCCTTTTGAAAAAAGTGAAACCCTAATTTATTTCGATAAAAAAAATTCAAATCTTTTTTCCCGATTGAAGCTTTCGTCATATTTGGTTTTAAATTGGTAGATTTTTTGTGTCATCATTTTTGAAGAAGTTCAATTTTATTGCGACAACAACAACGAAGACGACAGAAAAAAAAGAAGATACAAGTAATCTGATATTGATGTTTATTATTTCGAAAATTGTATGAATTAAACAAGAGAGAACGACAAAACTTTACTGAATGGATGAACATATTATAACATTATAAAATTTTAATAAGGTATTAATCTATTTCCTCTGTTTACAGAATAGACTGATATTTCTGGCAAGCCAAAAGAAGTCATAACATAATTTTGATCTGGCAATTCGTCAAAGTGACCTTCTTCACTTGTCTTACCAGAAAAGAAAACCCAAAAATAATTTTGAAAAAAGTTAATTTCATTAATTTGGTCAGAAAATAAGCTTCTATTCTATCCATGTCCACATCCTGGAAAAATTCCAATTCAAGTATATGGTCGAAAGAGAAAAAAATAATTCAGAAGTGTAATAAGGCAAACTTTGGTAAAAGAGCATGGACGTCCTTTCTATTCTCAAATAAAAAAATGTACAAATAAATCCATGGAATAATTAAATCTGAGTAAGAGATAAATGCTTGCAGATAAATAACTAGTAAGTCATTGTCATTTGTAAAGATGGTGTTTGTACATTGTTCACTTCCATGTTGCTCAGTGCCTTGTGTATCTGTCTCTATTTTAGTTTTTCAGTTTGCCTCGCTCGATCAGTTTTCTTCTTCTTTCCGCCAATCTGTCTTCTTTCAACAGACCTTCCTCTCGAAGAGCTTTGTGAATTTTTTCTGCAATTGAATAATGTCTATATGTATAATATCAGTCATAGTGAATTTCATATCAAAAGTAATTAGGGAGTCTATGCATATATATTTTTAGTTTACCTTTCCATTCTTGGTAGGCGGCCTCGTTATCAATGGGAAGAATCAAGATTCTAGTGATGTTTGCATTGATTGGAGGTAGTTTTGGAATACTCGACTCGTAGGTGGGCTGCATCATTTCACTCTTTTGAGTAACATCTGATGTAGGCCTAGAGTTATCTGGTTGTCTACAATCACTTGTACTAGAACCGTTGGCGTTGTCACCATGGGTCTCTTGCGGTGTCACACAAAACATGGCATCCAAGAGGGTCGGGATGTAAACCTCCTCTTCCACATCTTCGGAGTTCACCTTCTCTATCTGTTTGTATGCTGCTTCCTCCTCGTCTGAGATGATGCCTACTTTATTTTTTCTCATACAACTATGAAATAATCCCATTTTTTGTTGTGTACTGCCTGACGACCAAACTGCGCTATCCACAATAATCAAGATTATTATGACGCCATCGGCATTATGACGTCAAATGTTTGTGACGTTGGTATAATATGAAGAGATTTTTTACGTCAAGTGCAGGCACGTCTTTTCGATCTTTATCAAATTATGTATAACCTATACATGTAGCAGGTAGACTAGCTAGTATCTCTTATCTTTTATTATCGTAACATGTATACCATCGACCTGTACATGTACATGCATATAGTACTAACTGTGCTTCTTGTCTAGAAAGAAATTTAAAAAGAAATTTCAAGTCACCCCCCCCCCCAAAAAAAAATTAAGAATAAAATATCATGATTCATCATGCATGGCAATAAATTATAAGGAAATTGAATTGACAGGGCGTGTCAAACTTCCATTGATTTTTTTTTTCAAATTGTAAACATTTTTAAACAATCGAACGAGTTTTAGAATTTCAAAATAATTAATATGCTTTAAGAAATAATACAATCATGTTTTATGTGCAACCTCTTTAGGCGATTTATAATATTCAATGTTTTTCAGCTGATTTTGGTAGAGTTTTATGACTTGCATATTGCTAGAGCGTTTCAGACTGATTATACTAAATAAATATAAAACTTTATTTACAAATCTGAAAATAAAAAAGTTTTTGTTGGAGTTTGTAAAAATTGGTCAGTGATGTGAGCAAATCAGCAAATCGATCAGATGCACCACTTTGAAAACAGTGTTCAGGACCCCCCCCCCCCCCCCCCCCCCGATCGCGTGATCGAAGTGGATAACGAAAGAATTACCTAATTTTAACTCACATTTTCTCTGTCCTATTCTCTGTTCACCAGTCACAAGAACTAATGTAAGAACTGTGTAGCTTTTCCTGTGTCATTGAAATCATGGAGATATTACAGGATCCAGTGATGCAGCAATTCATAAAGGTAAGTTGAGATAAGTTGAATCATATCTAGGATACATAAAAGTCGTTGTTGATTACATGAGGTGTTTTCGCTCGAATTTCCTCGATATCAATTTGACCAATGATTCCTTTGAAATTTATAATTTGAAAACATTTTCGTATATTTTAAGGGAGAACAACAAAGACAAAAATTTCAAGCGACTGTCCAGCAGTTAACTGAGGAATGTTTTGACTATTGTGTCACATCTCCAGGAAATAAACTTGGTTCTTCTGCTGAACAGTGCATCAAAAACTGTGTTGACAGATTCATCGACACCACAAACTTTGTAGCCAATCGTGTACAAAGATCTGCCATGTCATCTTCTACCTCATCAGGCTTTGATTAAATTCTCATAGACTCATTTTACATGTTTGTTGTATTTTTATATTTTGTTAAGTTGTGAACTGAAGGTAACAGTGAACTCTGTTGATTTATTAATATACAATGCAAAGTTTTAACCATGATTTCAGACATTATGCATCTTTATGCTACACCGCAGGCCCAAATCGCCATTATCGGTTGAGTAAAATATTCCACTCAATGTCCCGTGGTCAAATTTCTCCATCATCACGGACCATGCTTAAACTATGTGGTTCTGCTGCTATTTTTGTTGTGGATTTTTTTTACTAGTTGTATTAAAATGTTAATTATAATTTTTACAGCCAGTTTAAATTAGGTATGCTTTTACTTTATGCAACTGGAACAGCTATAAAATTGAAATACAATTTCTCTCTTGGTATACTTTATTAATAACTGAACAAATCCCCAATAAAATTGATATACAATTTCCCTTTCGCAATTTATAGTCTTCCCATTATAAGGGAAAGTTTTGGGGCATTTGGATGAACGGACCTTATAAACAGAGGCCCCTTGTCACAGTTAAGGTATTGACAAGATAAAGAACTCTCGATGCTCCAAGGTGCTCAGTGGCCCTGAGTGCCGATTAAAGGTCTAAATTTGAAACCCTTCACCAGTATATGGTGATGTCTCTATATGTGTGAAGCATTCTTGAAAGGGACGTAAAACAAGATATACTGTATACTGGGTTATTTTCACCCTTTTACATTTGCTAACAGTTTTATGATTTAAATATGCCCTTTCACAGTTCTGTTTATAAAGAAATTATACAGTGTACTTTGATTCCGTTCTGTTTTAAAATTGCCCAAATGTGACGAGGGCAAAAATAAAAGGGGGGGGGGGGAATTTCCTTGTATACAGTAAATCAATCAAATAATCAATCATTTTACTCGTAAGTTCTTAAAAAAGTCAAAAATTGCCTGAAGGTTTGTAAATTTTAATCACAACTTCATTTTAAATATGAATGCATGTATTTTACAGAGGCAGGTATATAATATAATATATACTGCATACAAATAAATAATGGAGAAAAACTTAAATAAACCACTTTTATAAAAAAAGAAAAACCCAGTACAGTGGTCTTTATAGATACATGTACATGTAAAATCAGTGTAAGTTACAACAAAATAAGCATCTATTAACATGATTAAATAAATAAACATGGAGTGTTCATTAACACAGTATTTACATATATAGGGCTTCTAGTATTCTTTTGTTAATAATGTATATCACACACTGTTTCTAAATGGGATGGAAGATGCATTGCAAGATATGGATTTCAATATTACAGTGTGTATGAAAGAAAATGTTAGGATAATACACTGCGAACAGAGGAATATTGCAAAGATAGGTATGAAATTGAAAACCAAAAATTCAAGTGAAACAAAAAATAATGCTGCCAAACAAAGTTAAAAAAATCCTTATAAATGAATTTATTTACATGTATATTTTTTTTACTACGGGTAGGGGAAGGACACTATATGTGCTGAGAGAATATGTGTTAGAAATCTACTCTAAAGGATGTTTTCCTACAATCTGACTAGTGTGATAAAATTTTAATAGATAAAATTCACATCTACCTTTTTCCACCATTATTTTCTTATGCCTTTGTAAAGTTGTTGCATATAACAATCCTTTAACACTCCACCCTCTTTAATAATTTTTCAACCTGAGAGATTTAAGCTTTGTTGTGAAAATGTGCTTGCATGAGCTCAGAAAGATCATGTTTAAGTTCCTCCCAAAGGACCATAACCTGAAAACAGACTAGTACTCAATGTCAGAATTTTGAATTTTAAATAACAATGTTTTCGAAAATTTTCAAATTTCTTCTTATTAAAATTGTGAAATGCAGGTTTCTCTGTTTCATAATGTTTTACTTATACTGCTGATTCATTATTAGCCTTTTGTTGCCAAAAGTTCATGTATTTTTCAATTAAACATGAATGAAAAAATAAAGCACAAATAGCCCATATTTAGCAGTTTGTGTATCAGTGATCAGTGAAAGACAAATAGTACTTGAAAACAAGGTCACCTTGTTTTCAATCCACAACCCCTAAGGTCATACTTTGAAAGCATTCAATTTGTAGATGACAGAAATATACATGTGTACATATTTAGATCTTTGATGATAACATATATACAACTAATGCATTCAAGCTATAAATGCAAATGCATCAATCTATAAGAGTATTTCATGAAATGACTAACAACTCATAGTTAAATTTTCAGTGAGTTTTAAATTCTGTAGAGCCCTTGTGAATAAAACAATTTTAACAATAGTTATAGCTCAATGTTTATAATTAAAATAACTTTGCATAGCTGTGTACAGGTTCATCAGGTACAATGTATATAAATGTATAATTAAAGACCATATGGACTTAAATTGATTAAAATTTAAAATTAATTATCCATACATAAAAGCAAGATGCATACAATGAAGATATTTGCAACTGTTCTAATTTCCATCCTTTAACACACAATTTAAAACAACAAATACATGTACATCTGAAGTGTATTGAGACGATATAACAAATATTGTCAACAGTGAACCAGAGTAACCATAAAAACATGGTTTCATGACATCAAATATCACCCAAATCTGGAATGTATGTACCTTTGTTGACGTTGGAGTACAGTAACTACCACAAAATAATTCACCTGCTCCTTAAACCAAATCAAAGCAAACAAAACAAAAAAATTTAAGCTTCTTACTTAAGTTCAACCATGTATGTACATAACCCACTTTTATGAAATGGACCAAGAAAAGCTTGAGTATACACAGCAATGATAAAACCTGGGACTTTTATATCAAATATTTGTGTCAGGAATAGGGTGAGCAAGGGAAGTAACTCTCTATCTCACATTCATAATTCTCATTTACATGTATTAATATGCTCACATGGTTTAGTTCTCACAATGGTTCACATGACTAGATAATGGTTAAAGATGTCACTGCTCTAACCAGGAAGGGCCGTCCGTGTTGGCAGATTTCAGTTTGATGTTGAACTGCTTGAGGGTGGATTCCAGGGCAGTGGCATTCCCAGAGAAGTAGGCGGACGTGGCATTGTGGAACAGCAGAAGTTGTTTGTGCATGACTTTGACCTGCAAAATAATTTACACAGTAAACATTGACAGAACTACTAATACATTTAAAAATTTTGTTTACTAAATACATGTATGTTGCATTTCTCGCAGCTAACCAATCTGATTAAAATTAGATCCTTTGACTTGCTCACATAAATCGCTACACAAGAATCTGAGGAAACCCCATGTGAGCAGATCAAAGGATATGATTTTTAACCAGATTGGTAGCTAACTTGATAGCTTTTCAAATGAAAGAAGTAAAATTATAGATTTTGATTTCTGTATGTACATGTGCATGTTTTCCTGTTCTTTAATTACTGTTTCATGATCAAAACTATCAATTATCAATTTATATGTATCTATAAAATTACCCTGTTTTCATCTAGAAATTTCAACTTGATGGCCACATCTCCTCTAAGCTTTTCAAACTTTTCTTTGTGATCTTCAAACTTTTTCTTGGCCTCTTCTATTTTTTGGGCAGGAGTAGAATCTCTGGGACCTAACTGAAGAGCCTCAACATCATTTCTGTATGCATCATACTCCAACCTGAAACACAGTGAACATATTAAGGAAGATGGATTAAGGTCATATAAATACACAACCAAAACAAGTACGGTATATTTCACATATATATGTACAACTACATTTCATGGCTGACTCCAAGACATGAGGTCCTATGAACTTACTGAATATAGCAAAATGAGCTTATATTAAAAGTATAACAAATCAAAATTGTTCATACATGTACATGTATATGACTGTCTTACATGTAAATGTACATTCATCATTATAACACTAAAGCCATCATCAGATGAATTGAATGCACAACAAGTAACTCACCTGGCTGCCTCATAATTTTTTATTGTTAGGAGTGTGTCCTCCATTGTCTTATTGCAAAGAGTGTTGACTGAAGATGTGAAGAAATTCATTGCACCTGCAAAGAACAGAAAATAGAATAATGTTTTGCAAAACATTTATTTTGCAACAAGAAATACATATTCTAAATTTTTTGGTCAACTAGATCAGACAAAGTGGTGAATTTAATACATCTTTTAATCTTCAATTTTGAATTAAAAATTATCTTAAGGAGATGAACTCAATTGAAAGTTTACATGAAATCCAGAGTTACTCCTCTTGAATTCCAACAAAGTTTGAATTAAATATCCATGGTTAACAAATCAACTGATGAAATTCAGAAAAGTAAACATAATACACTTTTTTTGAAGATCAAGGTTATATTACCCAGTAAAACTTCTCCATTTTTCACCAAATTCCTTTGAGTCTCACAGTTGTAGGAGAACTCTTCCTGAAGCTCAGGGTTCCTTTGAGATTGTTCTGCAAACGCCTCTCCCAGAGCCCTCTGTGTCTGCACAACCTGGTAAAAATGGTTAGTTAATGTCCTTGCCAATCGTAAAATGTTGGAATACTTTCTTTGCATATCTCTCAGGGTTTCGATTTGATTTTCTAATTCCAAGTCCACAGTTTTGGAGCCTTTGCCAAATTTTTCTGAGATGAATTGTTTGGTACATTTGAAGGTGTTTACACTCCAGTGTTTGATGGTTTCTAGTTTTGTTTGAGCAGCATGCACAGTCTTGGGAAGAAAGTCACCACCATTGTTCTGTCTAGCCCCTTGTGACGATAGTGGGATATTGCTTGTTGCTGGAAAAAAAATCTTGAGAAAATAAGTTATTTGTGTTATGTCGATAGGGGCTTAAATATGTTCATATGTACACATGTCAATTTCAATATTTCTTTTCATTCAAAAATTAATAAATTTGAAAAGTGTAGAATGAGAAATAGTACTGTGCATCAAGTTTTAAGAGAGCTAGAAAAATATACATGATATCAGATGCAAGGGGAATTGCAATTTGGTCATACAATAAAGTTCATCAATCAGTGTAAAATACTGTGTTACAAAAATAACTAAAATTTTCATTCCAATAGAGAATCTTCTTTGAGCTTGACCTCTGATAAAGTGACGTCAAATATTAAGTGTGTCATCATGTAAATTCAAGACCAATGTAAAATATGTCATCTCAAGTGTACACATAGAAAATTAGAAATGGTGACATATAGGTGCCAACATGGTGATCACTACAGGGGTGAATAAAAGAGACCGTAAATGTTTATTAATTAGAAGTAAAGCAAGCCATATTCTAAGATTAAGTTTCACTAAATCCCTATTAACAGCACGTCAAAATATAGGAACCCATTTGCCATTACCACTTCAAAAATTTTCATCAGATCAAAGAAAATTTCAAATACACTAGAGATTAGATAAACACCTTGCCATACAAACTGTAAGAAAAAATATATAAATTCAAATTAGCAAGGTTAATTAAAAGCATGAAAACACACACACCAGGAGGCATAGTGAAAGAGCGAGGGAGACCAGACTGTGTTCCAAAGTTACCGGTGGAAGCTCCAGGGTAGGAGGAGGTCATGACCTTGTTGGGGGAGCCACTTTGTACAGTGTTATGTACATCTGTCAGGTCTTGTCCATCGTTCAGGATGTCCTTCAGGTCCTGCTCAAAGGTGTCGTTGGCCTTGGAGTTCCCATTATACGCTGGACCTGAATCTGCCATCATCTAAAAAAAGCATATATACATGTATATACAATGTATTAAATTTTTAATCTTAATAGGAAATTTTAGATGTACATTAGGATAATCAGAGTGTTTTTTGAACAAGTAATTTTGAGAAAAAAAATACAGTGTACTTGAAATTTTACTTTCCATACCTATCATTCCTAAAACATTTACAGCTGTAGTATTGTGTTTGAATTTCCTATGTTCAAGTTCAAAACTTAAATTATTTACATAAGGCCTCTTTCAATCTATCATACCCAAATCATGTGAGTGAATTAAAGGAAACTAATCAAGTAGTTTGAAGAAATCACTTTAAAAATAATAGAAATTTTACAGGTTCTGACCCAGTAAATGAAAATAAGAATACTTAGGCTTAAAAAAAAAATAAGTTTGTTTCCTGTAACATTCCCAAAAAATCAAGGGTCGGTAGGTCGGAATTTTTTTTTTTTTTTTTTTTTTTTGCTTATGAATGGTCAAACATCCCCGGACCGAAAATACCAGGTGTTATATTTACAGTAGACACCCAATATGGCATCCAAAATGGCTGCCAAGCGGCAGAAAACTAGTCTCGCAGAAAACGAACTTCAGAAAGTTGTTGGGGGAAACTGTTGTTACAATAATGATTACTCTTTATTTTTAAGGTAAATGTACACTAAGTTGACATATTTTATGTCTCAAATTAAGCAACAAGCTATTTTTTTAAATTTAATAAATGGAATCAGCTGATTGATCAAACGAAATTTTGCCATTTGTCAGAAAAAAAATTCCACCCGGGGATAATTTGAATGGGTCGGTCGGGTTACAGGAAACAAACATATTTTTTTTTTTAGGCCTTATACAGCATGTACCTGTTTTCATTTAAAATCAAGACCAAATTGTCCAATTCACAGATATGGCCAAAAAGCGAATTCACAGTTACATATGGACTTGCAATGCATATTTATTTCTCATTAAAATTTTTAAAAACCACCCAGTCTTGATTGAAAAATTTGCATTTAACTTTGAGAAAAAAAATCTTTTGAAACTGTGTATTTTGTTCTAACATGAAAGAGTTCAAAACCAGAAAAATCAGGACATTTTAGAGTAATATAAGAATTATATTTCGGAAACACATCAGACCTCGGAATGGAATACTCGCAAGTCTCTAATTCTCATTCTATGTCTATAATCCCAACCGGAAATAGATGTATATTATCCGACATCCTACTACATAATTTTTATGGAATAAATGAGTGGTTTACAAATTGGTTTGACCAGAGACTTCTGAAACGATTTAATTGACAAGAAAAAAATATCTCGAAGCAAACGATGTCATTTTAAAAGTAGTTTAATGATTGATATACTAACAAAATACAAGCTTGATGAGGGGATGCCTGAAATTGGGCTATGTACCTTGTGGTAAAATAAGTAGGGTAACCGTATACGAAACAAGTACCTGTGCTACAGGTACTCAAAAAATTTTTTAAAATGTATGCACTGATTCTGCTAATCCGAGATTCCTCCGACTCTAACCTGCTTTTACATTGTGACTTGTGCAGGGGACAAATCACAATGTAAATACAGGGGTTAGAGTCAGAGGAATCTCGGATTATGATTCGGCATGCATATGAATAGGCCTTTGTCTGTTTTAACCAGTAAGAAGTGCAAGATGTACCTGTGTGTACTTGAAATGAAAGTGTTCATTCCATGCAATCTATTTAAGGACATGACATACCATTTAACTGTATTTTAAAACGGTCAGAATGACCATGAATGCCGGATTTACTTGTTCCCCCAAGGCAAGACATGACATGCATGTACATAAAGCATACCCTCAACACTCTACTCAACATTTTATTTAATTTTTGCAAGACCCAATTTTATGGCGGAGCCTCTTACCATATGTATTCCTGGCAAATCTTTATGAATGTATATTTTTACAATTTTTTAATGTATCATCTGCTGTCTGTCTGTGTGTCGTGACACCTTGTCGATGATGACGTATCAATGTAGTCTAAAACTAAACCAGATCGGGTAAAATCTCAAAATTCCGAATTTGTATTCATGATCTACATAGTATATAATTATATATCAATTAAAATAAAATTACTAAACATGGTTTACATCTTATTAAATGATACAAATTAAAGGTTATAGATTAGAGTAATAAAAAATCTAATAAAATAAGAAAAAAAATGTAAATCGGGATCGAAATACAAAATATTTTTAAATCTTCAAGGGGCATGGAAGACTGAATTGCCTCTGTTTCAGTGCTGTTTCTAGTTTTGTTAACTACTCCTATCTCCAACTCTTAACCATGAATGCAAATTTTCAGGGAACTGAGAGAGAGGTTTCAATGGTTGGTTACAAATCTTTGATTATGAGCGTTATCATTGTTTCAAACTTGGATTTTCAATTTTTCATTAAATATACATGTACTATCAGGTCCATTACAATCTCTTGATTTAGCTATATAGCTTTAAATAGCTATAACACTTTATATCAAGCAATTCAAAATAGCGTTATTTAGCTACTTATATACAGTTTTTCACAAAAATGTTGTTTGCTAAATCGCAATCAGAAATTTTCTATGCTTTGCACTTAATTTTCATCCAAAATATTGACATATTTGTTGAGTACGTTGCTTAGGTGTAAGCCTGATATCAATATTGGATCTAAATGACAGTCAACTCACCTGTCCTCTTCGTGTCCCCTGGCACATAAGGCCCCATAATGACAGTCATTCTAAACAAATTCAGTATATTAAAGGTAACATGCGGTGAAAAATTTTGGCCAGGCTGAGACTCGAACCCAGGACCTTCCTGGGTTCCGCTAACCGCGCCAGGGATTAGGTACATTTGCCTGGTAGCTCAGTGGTTAGAGCACCCGCACCAGTCCCAGTCTGGCCAACATTTTTGCCTGCCTGTTATGTTGACAAGAGAGTTTGTATTTTAAAACAATCACTAGAACATTCCTTGAATCTTTCTACTACCTTAAGTATAACTATAATTATAAAAGATTTCATACTGACAATTCAGTGTATACATGGTATAATACATGTATGCACCAACTGTGTTTTGCTTTATCCAGTTTATCATGACCTTTTTTTCTCCAGTTAGTTCTTTCTGCATGTTCTGCATTTTACTCAGATATTCTCATTTATATTCATGTTTACTCAGCACATACAAGTTTATAAACTCTTTGAAGGTGATATCAAGAGAAAGAATCGTAATTTGTGGGCTAATTAAGCATTTGAAGAGGGAGGAATGTCAAGTGTTCAGGCAGTGGCCTGCAGCCAGATGGCTCAAGTGGTAGAGCGGCCTTTCTGGACTTCAGGGGGCCTGGGTCTGAATCCTGGTCTGGACCATGGCATTTCCTTCTTTTCTAATAATCTTAATTCCCCCCCTCTATAAAAATTAAACATCTCAAATCTCTTTAGGTTTATCTTTCTTTTCCCCTTACTTCTAATCCAAACTGCAGTAGAGATACATATGTTAAGATAAGCTTGTCAATGATCAAGAAGCAGTCTAAGGTTTATGTAAGCTAAGTATGTTTATAAATCTGAAATTTCTCATTTCAGCTGCGAGATGTGTTGTTATCCCACAATATAATGACAGAGAGGTGCTTCACCACATGTATAACTAAATTCAGACAGAACACATTGACAGATGAAGAGGTAATCTTTATTTTTTAGAATTAAAAAAAAATGACAACAGACAAAAGTTGTTGCATAAATTTCATATGAAATGCACATGAATTTTATGTGAATTTGCATGAGAAAGAGATGAAAAAACAAGAAACAATGAAATTCATGTGAAAATTTCATTTTGATATGACTTCCATGTGAATTTTACATGAAAAGCATACCGCATAAATATTGTGCAAAGAAAATTTCACATGAAAGTTCTAAAAAAAAAATTTCATGAATTTCGTATAAACCAGTGAGAAAAATTAATTAATTATTGTGGGGGGGGGGGGGGGGCAAGAGATGTTTTATGAACATCTCTTGTTTCTAATTGATTTTCACATAGTAGTTTTCAATCAAAAAAAAAGAATTAAAATGAATGTTATATAAGCCACTTTTTAGCTCACCTGAGCCGAAGGCTCAAGTGAGCTACTCTGATCATAATTTGTCCGTTGTCTGTTGTTGTCGTCATCATTGTTATCGTTGTAAACTTTTCACATTTTCATCTTCTTTTCAAGCACCACTGGGCCAATTTCAACCACACTTAGCACAAAGTATCCTTGGGTAAAGGGGATTCAAGTTTTTTTAAATGAAGGACCACTCCCTCCTCCAAGGGGAGATAATTATGAAATGAATTAGTGAAAAATTAATGGCATCTTTTGAAAATCTTCACAAGAACCACTGGGCCAGGAAAGATGAAACTCATGTGGAAGCATCTTCATGTAGTGTAGATTCAAGTTTGTTCAAATCATGCCCCCAGGGATAGGATGGGGCCACAATGGGGTATCAAATTTTAACATAGGAATACATAGGAAAAATATTTAAAATCGTCTTTTAAAGAATCACTGGGCCTGGAAAAATGAAACTCATATGGAAGCATATCCTTTGATAGTGTAAATTCCCTGGGGTAGGGTGGGGCCACAATGGGGTATCAAAGTTTAGCATAGGAATATGTGAGAAAAAATCTTTTTCTCAAAAACAGGAAACCCATGATCGGTCATAATTATATGGAAGCATTCCTCTTTTAAATAAATGTAGATTTATGTTTGTTAAAATCATGACCCCCTTGGGTAGGATGGGGGCACATGGGGGGGTCAAAATTTACATAGGAATACATAGAAAAAATCCCAATTTTATTATACAATTAATTACCCCTTTTGAGGTCAACATGGTGAAATAAGGACCCGAGACCTGGCCCACGAGGTGACCTGACCTGACCGAGGCCGCGTATTGGTCGAGGTTAAGGTCATCGAGTGGGCCAGGTGGGGGTCCTTATTTCACCATGTTGAACTCAAAAGGGGTAATCAATTGTTTTATTATACCGATATATATTGAAAAGTATGAATCTCTAACCGTTATCAATTCTTTCTTTGATCGGGATCAGGATTCGCTACACTCCGTATAGTGAAGTTGTTTACATTGAAGTCTGCAAGTCGTGTAAGTTTTTGCATCATGATTTACTGATTAAAATTATATTAGGTTGATAGCGACATACATTGTTATAACTAACGATTACTTTTCTCTACCCAGTCAAAATCTAACACAGAATTCAACTCTTTACAGAGCCGCTTCTACATTCCAGAACTGAATTGAAACGATATTTTGAAATGAGTAATTTTGCCGTATTCTGTATGGTAATGCAAAACAGACCATGCACAATTTAAAAACATGTTGTTTTCTTGAATAATTATTATTTTATGCATTTAATTCACCCAAAAAGGAATTTTTGATTAAGAGGTCATTATTTAGCGGTCATTAATTATAATGAGCGGGTCATTATATCCCACGTGCAATGATTCTTAGGTCCTTATTGCTGTAAACAGTACCATTTGGAGTCATTGTTGTGTTTTAAAGTTTTCTTACCAGCCAATCAAATTCGAGTATTATCAATAGAGGTATAATAAATGTTTTTTAAACTTTTCAATACTAAACTGATTTTTGCTTTTACTTAGCCAGTTGCTGTGGTTAGCGATGTGGCCCCTGGCCTCTTGTTCTTGTCTAGTATTAGAATACATTTCAGAAATGAAAATTTAATTTCATACCATGAAAATAGTTGAAAGAGTCTATTTTTGTCAGAACGACATAACTACATTATAATGATTACTAGCCCGCACCTCAGATCTCCAGATTTCCGCATTATTCCGCATTTTTTCCTCATTTTAATATGGAAAAAATGTGGAAAAAAATACGGAGAAAATTAACAATATGGAAAAGCAGAAAATATGCGGAAATAATACGGAAAATAAACGGAAATAATACGGAGCATTGGACTTAGTCTATTTTTCATCTGGAAAAATATTGAACTCTTAACTTAGAATATTTTTCATCCGGAAAAAATACGGAGCTCTGGACTTAGAATTTTTTCATCAAGAACAAGATGTGTTTGTGAGACACAGTAGCAGCTGGCGGCAACATTAAGTTCTAAAAAGCAAATTTTAGCAAATGGGTCTCAGTCAAGGTCACACAATCATTGTTCTTGGTGTCATTTGAAAGCACTTTATTAGTGTAGTATGCATACCAAATATTAAGTCTCTATCATCTATGGTTCAAAAGTTATGGCGAAATTCGAAAAAAGCTATATTTAGCACATAGGTCACAGTCAAGGTCACAAGGTCATTGATCTTGGTGTCAGTTGAAGGTGCCTAATTAGTGGAGTATGCATACCAAATATGAAGTCTCTATCTCTCACGGTTTTAAAGTTATGGCGAAAGTTCGAAAAAGCTATTTTTAGCATATAGGTCACAGTCAAGGTCACTGACCTTGGTGTCAGTTGAAAGTGCCTAATTAGTGGAGTATGCATACCAAATATGAAGTCTCTATCTCTCACCATTACCGCATGAGAAGTTATGGCGAAAGTTAAGCTATTTTTAGCATAAAGGTCACAGTCATGGTCACAAGGTCATTGACCTTGGTGTCAGTTGAAAGTGCCTAATTAGTGGAGTATGCATACCAAATATGAAGTCTCTATCTCACGGTTCAGAAGTTATGGCGAAAGTTCGAAAAAGCTATTTTTAGCATAAAGGTCACAATCAAGGTCATAAGGTCATCGACCTTGGTGTCAGTTGAAAGTGTTTTTGTAGTGGAGTATCCATACCAAATATGAAGTCTCTAAGTCTCACGGTTCAAAAGTTATGGCGAAGGTTAAAGTTGACAACAGACAAACAAACAGACAGGCATACAGCTAAACAGACAGACAGGACAAAAACAATATGCGCCCCGAAAAAATTTGGGTGCATAAAAACTGTCTTGGAGTTAACAGCAGTTCTCTGTTTCTCCTGAATGTTATGTACAATTTGATCGTTGATCGGAAGAATGTTCAAAAAGTTGCTCAGTGATCAATTAATTTAAACAACAGACCGCCAAAATTTAACCTTGGCCTCCATGTTGCAACGTCTGCTCTGTCTAAAGGAAGAAGTTTGTTGACCAGACAGCCTGAGATCGTATTGCTGTATCAACCAAAAGATGCAGATACACGTATTTCATATGGGGTAGGTCAGTCATATTTTTTTTTAACATGTGTGTCACTGTGATGATGAAAATAAATACTCTAGGCCTAGGACTGAGCTACCAGGTTACGTACTCCCAGCCAATATGCCCATGATTCAAATCTTTCAATCAGCTCATAGAATTTTATTATGGTTAACCACAATTAAAGGTGTTAATTTTGGGGAGCCATCTGTAATTCTAGCAATGATTTACCATACATTTTTTTTTTGGTAGCGTCTGTGCATGAGGAGATTTCTGAAAAAGAATAAGTGCTTATTCAACTTGCTGTGATTTTAACGGGCTTAAAGCTTGGTCCATGGATGGTTATGTTTGAGGTATATATATTCTTTTTTTCTTTTTTTATTGCTAATGTTTAATAATTAAAAACAGTCAACTATGATTGTCATTATTATAAATAATATTTTAAACAAATTGATATTAAATTGAAGAACCCAAACTTGTGTTTATAAAAAGATTTTAAAAGGAATAAAAGCAATGAATTTATATTTTATTAATATTGCACCAATTTATAATTTAAGTACTTTTTTTTAATTGATAGGATTTGCCAATTCGACCGCAAGTGCTGCTGCAAGAAATTAAACATGCAGAGACCTTACAAATTAATACAAAGAAGTCTGAAGAAAATTTTTATTGGACAGATGGGTGTAAAGCACAGACCTGAGATATAAAATGAATTGTGAGAAATATGAATCAGGGATGCAGGTAGAAAATGGCAAATGTGATCCAGATTGATAAAAAATGTCTAAAATTTTTTTTGTTTTGTAAATATTCAATGCTATGTCAATTGTTATTTTTTCCCCAATACCTAATAGTGTTGAACATTTCACTCCCACTTTTGCTTAAGTAGAATGAATGAATTTCCATTTATTTAATATGAATATTAAAAAATGCCACATTTTTTCCATGATGAACTTGTGGCTTAAATAAGAGTTCCAGTTTTTTTCCCATACATGCTCTTATTTGTTTGTCAAAGATATAAGATCCAATACATTGCTCATAAACAAAATGTGTAATTTTCCCAATTTTATATGTTTTTTTCTTAATGATATAATAAATTGTATGTAATTTTGCACATTTTGATGGTTTTGTAAATATTTATGTATGTATGCATGTGGTTTTATTAGCCATTTTATAACCATGTGATTAACTCCGTATTTTCTCCAGATTTCCGTATTTCCGCATTTTATCAACCAAGTAAATACCTCCATATTTTGTATATATGGAAATACATTTCAGAAATGAAAATTTACATTTTCTCCATATTTTGAATGAAAATAGTTGAAATTTGAATCTATTGAAAATCAGAATGAATGAGGAAAACTCCAAATACATTTTAATTATTTTACTACATTATGCGGGTACATTATTGTGAATATTTTTCTTTTCTTTTATATATACTTTTACACTTAAGTCATGCCAGATTCAAAAGCTTTGAAAGTGCATGTCTAATAACAGGTACTGTAATTTATTTCTTAACAGAAGTCCTGCATTGATACCTGCATGGGAAGATATGTGAACTTCAATCAGAGACTGATGGCAACATTTTTTGAGCAGCAGCAGGCTCGAATGAAAGCTATAGCAGAAGAACAGAATGCTCAGGTTCCCCCGCAACAAACACTCATACAGAAAACGTGATATTAACGATGTAGGACTCCATGTACCATGTATATTTTAAAACACCATCCTTAGAAAATTTCTAAGTTTTATTTACAATTCATATGTCTTGAAGTTTATAAAAGCTATGTTTATAAAAATAAACAATCAAAATTGCAATTTTTTAATCAAAATTGCAGATGCAATGTTCAGTTTCATTTTTTTGCATATTTAAACCACTCTAGTTAAACAAGTTTTAAAAAGGCAAATATGAAGTCAGTGTCTATTGATAATTTTATACAAAGATTTACAAAACTATACAATGTGGTAGGTACACAGGTAAAAAAAATTGCCGACATTGGTAATTATTTTATACAATATATGTACATTTTAGAGAACGGTCTAAAAATTTTCATTTCAAATGCTATTTGTTAACTAATGATTAACAAGTAACAAGGTTGTGCAAACTTGTGTGCACAAATATAGCACATAATGTAAAATTACAGTTTATAAATCTTGTGTGAAAGTACATTGAAACATTGCACACAGAGGTACTTTTATTACAACAACAAAAAAAACAAAAAACAAAAAAAAAAAAAAAACAAAAAAAAAAAAAAAAAAAAAAAAAAAAAACAAGCAAAAACAATGTTTTGCCTAATGGCGAAAAAAGTGATAGCTTATATATATACTTATTCTTTTATTAATGAATAATCTTCATAACATTGAACCCACGTGTCATTTGAAATTATTTAAAATCAAACCGATCAGATGTATGTGTATGTGGGATGGGGGATGGGGGTTGGGGTGAATGTTGAAAATACATTAGCAGTGTATTTGCAAATCTAAAAGGTGCTCACTGTAGAACATAGACTGCAGGTTTTCAATATCAAAACTCAAATTTACATAACTTTGTCATGGTCATCAACAAAAGTATTTAAAATATTTATGTGTATTTGTTTTAAAAAAAGATTCTTTAGTTCTGATTGAAAGTACAGAGAGTTTAGTGTCAAACATTTTTAATCCTTCATGCAAACAATTGTGAAACAGGTATTGAAAGCCTATTTTGTACCCAAACAAAATTTATTTAATTTCAAATTAAATGGAATTATTATTGTAATTTTTCAAATGCAAGAGTACCAACTTCTTTGTTTAATCATTATAGCTACAGGCAACTACACAAATTCATCCAATATTTTTGGTTTGGTGCAAGAAATCACAATTCGCAAACGCGCCCGACTATGATCCACCATCAGATTGTTCAAGTACCGATTTGAATATCTATTCCCTTTGATTTACATAAACGAAACTAAAAGAAGGTTCGGTGCGACTTTTCCGGATTTAGGGTATCCATAGGCATTTAAAAATATTCAATTGTTTCAAATCCATGCTGATTTTAGTGATGCTTAACATGCATTTTAATTAGAAATATCCACTAGTATCTAACTATTACCAATAGAGAACGATTTGGTAGTATATTCTTAGGTAAAATGGCACATAAAAAGGGCCCATTAAGTATTGCTTAAGTGCACTTGTCCTTTGTATGCTTCAGTTTTATTTATAATTCATCTGTCTTGAAGTTTATAAAGGCTTTGTTTGTACCAGCTATCGAATGGAAGGAGTGATTACAAAATTGATGTTTTTCTTTAATCAAAATTGCAGATGCAGATATGTTCAGTTTCAATTTTTTGCAGTCTTCATGTTTTAGAACTTTGGTCACTCTAGTTAAATTCTGAAATGTTTCTATAATAAAAAGGCAAATATGAAGTCAGTGTCTATTGATTATGTTATTAGACACTTCATTGTGTATTTATATGAACCAGTCTTTATGATCATAGACATGCTGGTGGTACACAGGTAAAAAAAAATTGTATATGACCTTGTGTACCTAATTATTTTATACAATATATGTACATTTTCAGAGAATTCTAAAAATTTTCATTCATAATGTTATATTATTTCATAAATAATGATTAACATGTAACAAAGATGATTTTATGTTTTTTCCCCCCATTTTTGATCAGTATTTTGCACAAATATAGCACATATAGTAAAATTACATGATGTACAATAATCATGAAGTTAAAAAATGATAATTTTCAGTTAATTAATGTTTGAGTTTGCAGTTAGAATAAATATTTTTGTGCTTGAATTCTTCACTTTTTTCGACATTCCAAACATTGCAAAACAGAGGTACGAACTAATGATAATAAGGGAAAAAAAATAAAATAGACCTAAATTTACTTATTTTTTTGTTAATTCTGAATAATCTTCATAATGTTAATTTTGAGTGTCATTTGAAATTAAGCATTTATATTCATATCAAACAGAAGCAAGTCAGGTGTATGTGTACGTGGGATGGGGGTGGGGGTGAATGTTGAAAATATTATTTAGCAGTGTATTTGCAGATCTAATGTAGCAAAAAACTAGTGCCCCCTGGGTTATATCGAAAATGCATAGACAGCAGCTTTTTCAATAAAAACGAAACTCAAATTTACATAACTTTGTTATGGTCATCAACAAAAGTATTTAAAATATCTTAATGTACCACAAGTACTCATTGTTAAAATAAAAAAAAGATTCTTTAGTTCTGATTGAAAATATCTATGTTGTTTTTGAGATCAACTCCCGACAATCTTTTGGAAATCAGGAATTTCCATGGGTAAAAATTGTGCAACGTTATTAGGTTAGTAGACCTATTTTGTATTCAAATGAAGCAAAATTTATTTGAAAACGTTGATATGAAAAATAATCTATTCTTGTGAAAACGTTTTCTCAATAAATAATATTCATTTTCTTTCCTACATGTATATTGATTCCATATATTTCTATAAACTAGAAATAAAAGACACACTTAGTCTAACACAACTGTTTTATATTTAGATAAAAACGTTGGTTATAAACTAGCAATGAAATTTTATTTTAAACTAACAGACCAATGTTTCTATCTTTTGTCTTCAGATTCCTTTATTTATGTAAACCTATAGGGTTTGAGACAAATATTTTAATTAGTAAAATAAACATCATCAATTATTTACAATGTACTTATTATCGAGTGCATTGACCCCTAATTCAAGAAGGATACAGAAGTGTAAGACTTTTCCGTAAAAGTAAACAAACAAGTTAATCGAATTAAAGACTATATAACATACCAGGATATTTATCTATTTACGGACATCAATCCAAGAACAATAACTGAACATTATGAAAGTTTATATTAAAGTTATACTCACTTTTGCCTAATACAAGGAAACTGACCACCAGTTTACAAAAACTTATGTTTTGATTATAAATTGTTTTGTCAAAATTCCAGGATTTAGGCCCATGTATTGAATAACTTGTTTATCGTATATGCAAATGACTATTATGTATTGTACATTATAAATACTATCTACGGCGATCTTCGCTATCTCTTTTGTTCGTATCCACTATACGATCATCATTTGTATTCACTAATAATTTCACTACTGTTAAATAAACTCTTAGAAAAGACTTTTTCCTTGTCATTGGTTCACAAGACTAATTTTTGTGCCGTGACCAGGATTTGGCGAAGTACGAAGAAAAGACAGAAAGAAGAAAAGGGTAAGACATTGTTTTCTTTTCTACCTTGTTTTTAACTGACCATCTTCACTGAAATTCTAAATTTGGTTTAACTATTAAAGTATTCTTTTTAAAAATGGCTACGGCGAAAGTGCCATCCTTTGGGGATGATTTAACAAAGGCAATCGACGATTTAACAGCGCAAATATCTGAAACAGGAATTGTAAATGATAAATCTAATTATAATGAGGGAATGAGTTCAAATTGCTTTCCGTCTACAAGTAAAAAGGGAGATGAGGGGGGTGATGAGGATAAGAAAATTAAAGAATGGATGAGTTCTGTTTTAAATCAGGTTAAATCAGTCACTGCTGCAATTGCTGTTCCTATTAATCAGGTTATTATACCTTAATTTTGAGGGGGATCCGGGAAAATTTAAACAATGGATAAAAGATGTAGAAAAATATGCCAAGATGTCTGATATGAATAATGAAGATATTTCAAAAATAGCATTTGTCACTTGTAAAGGATCTGTGGGAGATTTTATTAAAAGATATTTCGCAGAGATAGAATCTTCTGGTGAATTACCTATAGCTGGAATGATTTAAAACAATTCTTGAAAAATAGATTTGCAGAAATTACTGATGCACAACATGCATTGGCAATCATAGGATAGATGAGACAACATTCCAATGAGAGTGTACAAATATTTGCTGAAAGAATTTTACAAGTCGCGGAAGATGCATACGCGTCTGAAAATGTGGAACATGAAATTATTCAAAAACAGTTGGTTGATATTTTTACTGATGATTTATCCTTTGATTTCTTGAGAATGAAAGTTTTAAGAGAAAATCCCAAAACGCTATAAAACGCGGTTCAAGTGGCAATGAGGGAACAAAATTTGCGCAAACGTTTGCCTTTAAGATCTCAAGATAACGGGGGTGACATATCTTCTAATCAACAGATATTAAATACGGCGGGAGAGAATTTGTTATTAAGATTTTCAGAATTAAAATCAAATATTTTTCGAAAAGAAGAAGCCATGGAAATTGATCACTTTCGTAATCAGCGTTTTCACAGGTGTAGGAAAATTGGGCATAGGCTAGGGCAAGAGTTTTGTCCCTTTCAAGTTTTGGCAAACAAACCAAATTCTAATATTTAATCAAAGACCCAGAGTACATGTAAGAGAAGTTTCCAATGGTTTAAGAGAAGGGGTGTGTAATTTACAGTGTTGGCATTGTGAAAAATACGGGCATATTCGCAGAAATTGTCCTGAAAGATATTATGGGAGGAGGTTTTTTCAGCATCAAAATTCTTTTAGACCCCAATATAATCCTTTGAAAGGTTCGAAACAACAGGAAAACTAAGAAGCTCTCTTCATAATGAAGCCGATGAAGAGAGGTTAAATAAATGTGGTAGGAA